ATAATAAAATATAGAATAAAAATGTACATTATACTATAAAATTTATAATAAAAAGGTCTATGCTAAAATATAATAAAACATATGCCCCCCCCATACATAGTGATGAACAATGATACACTGTAATGGACTCAGCAGCAGAAGCCAAAGGGTTAAAAAAAATCAAGCTCACCCCAAAGAGCAGAGCGGTGATAATTTTGGCAATCACCGGCCTACTGACACACAAGAGGGCCATTTCTGATCTTCACAACGACCCATTAAAAAAAAAGGTCTCGAAGCCGCTCCCGGTGGCACATTAGAGGCTTCAGGGGTGTGATCGGCGCACATCTGCTCAGCGCAGGACAAAGCCGCAGCGGAGAAGCAGCAAATTAAATATAAATGAACGCCATTAATATTTCAAGGCGTGTGAGCGCAAGGTACAGTAACGGGCTGGTTAGGCGATACCAATAACCCGGCGCTGTGGGCAGGCGCTCAAGGTTGGCCTCTAGCTGCAGTAACCCCCGGTGAACACCAGGGGGCAGACTTGCGATTTTTATTATGGAGGGGGGAATATAAAGCGCACGCCAAAAAAAACAAAGCTGCAGATCAGATTACAAGCGGAAGATTTATAGCTGAACTGAGACTGGGTGGAAACCGCAGTTTAACAAGTCACCCTACATGGGATTAACACCTCTGCTGGAAACGTTTCACAGGGCCCGTCGCAAGTAAACAGCGCAGGATCCGGTAACGCCAGACCGTGTTTTGGGCCCTATTTGGAAACAAGGCAAGCGATGGCCATTGGGAACCACGGCGGCTAAAGATAGAATAGTATACAGACTACAATAGTATACAGACTACAAACAAGATTATATTATCAATGTAAGAGAAAGCTATAGAATAGAAGGGGTCATGGTGGTCCCCAGGACAACAGCACCCCGACATCTGCTGGTCCCCGACACCCAGGAGTCATTGAAACAATGGCGGAACGTCTGGGGGTTTCTTGGACAACAACACCCGATCTTCTAAAGATCAGCAGGACAACAGTTCCCTTTCCCCCAGGACAACTGCACCCCGACACCTAGGCATCTCCGTGACAATGGCATCATGACACTTTTGGGTCCCCAAAACAGCATCCTGATGCCTAGAGAATCCCCAAAACGGCACCCTGACATCTAAAAAGGTCCCCAGAACAACAACACTTGGGGTCCCCAGGACAACAGCACCCTGACATCTGCTGGTGCCTGACATCCAGAAGTCATTGAAACAATGGCACAACGTCTGGGGGTTCCTTGGACAACAACACCCAATCACCTTGAGATCAGCAGGAAAACAGTTCCTTTGCCCCCAGGGGTCCCCAGGACAACTGCACGCTGACACCTGGGAGTCCCCAGAACAATGGCACCCTGGCACTTAGGGGTCCCCAAGAAAATTGGCATCCTGACCCCTAGGGAGTACCCAAAACAGCACCCTGACATCTACAAAGTCCCCAAAACAATGACACCTTGAGTTCAAAGGACAATTGCACCCTGACACTTGGGGTGGCAACACCTTTGCACCCCGACACTCAATGATCTCAGAACAATGGCACTCTGTTACTCAAGAGATCTAGCACAATGGCACGCTGATACTCTGAGGTTCCAGCACAAAGGCTCCTTGACCTCTGAGGTTCCAGCACAAAGGCTACTTGACCTCTGAGGTTCCAGCACAAAGGCTCCTTGACCTCTGAGGTTCCAGCACAAAGGCTCCTTGACCTCTGAGGTTCCAGCACAAAGGCTCCTTGACCTCTGAGGTTCCAGCACAAAGGCTCCTTGACCTCTGAGGTTCCAGCACAAAGGCTCCTTGACCTCTGGGGTTCCAGCACGCTGGCACTCTGACACACGAGGTATCAAAGCAGTTACCCTTTATTTTAGAATCATAATGAAGAAACATTGACCACCGACCTTTGGTGTCATATCATGAGTGATGCAGAACTCCAGGTGATGGAGAATGCTCTCCATCGTGTGGTACGGTTGCTGTTTCGTCGTGCGCAGGTATTTCTGCATGGCTCTGGCCATGGAAGCGAAGATAGCCTGGGCAGCCTCCCGCGGATCCATGACCTCACGTGGGTTTTTCGGGTCTTCTTCCTGGAGACGCTTGATGTGGGTGAAGGCCTCTTCCACCGCCACCACCAACCTAGGAGGACAACATCAACCATGTTAGAAAACAGTGAACATATCAGAGGTTTTCAAAAACAATCTAAGTGTCCTTATAGAAGCCCCCACGGATCATAGGTAAAGGCTGTAAAGGGCATTTCTGAAGATCTGGCACCCAATGGGAGTGGCAAGGACCTTTGTAGGTCTTCAAAACAATCTCAATGTCCCTAGAGAATCTCTTTGGATCAAAGGCTGCATAAGTGGCTTGTTAAATATCTGGCAACCCATGGTGTTGCAAAGACCTGCAGTAGGTGCTCATAACAATCTCAGTGTCCCTCTAGAACCCCCATGGATCACAGACCAAGGCTGTATAACGTGCTTGCTAAAGATCTGGCACCTCATGGTGTTGACCAAGACCTTGGATGCTCCCAAAACAACCTCAGTGTCTCTATAGAACCCCCCCATGGATCAAAGGCCAAGGCTGTATAAGGTGCTTGCTAAAGATCTGGCACCTCATGGTGTTGGCCAAGACCTTGGATGATCTCCAAAACAACCTCAGTGTCTCTATAGAACCCCCCCATGGATCAAAGGCCAAGGCTGTATAAGGTGCTTGCTAAAGATCTGGCACCTCATGGTGTTGGCCAAGACCTTGGATGATCTCCAAAACAACCTCAGTGTCTCTATAGAACCCCCATGGATCGTAGACCAAAACTGTACAAGGGGCTTGCGAAAGAGTTGGTACCTCATGGCATTAGCAAAGACCTGAGAAGGTCTTCAAAACAATATCAGTGTCCCTATAGAACCCCATTGTATCAAAGGTCAAGGCTGTATAAGGGGTTTGCTAAAGGTCTCATGGTGTTGGCAAGGACTTGTGTAGGTCTTCATACAAATCTCAGTATATCTATTGAACCTCAACTTGATTGCGCAAGATTTAGGCACACCTACTCTCGCACTAAGCCCCCCCCCCTCATCTGTGACAGCAATAGGGGTCTTCATATTTCTGGTGAATGGTGGTGTCATCACATGTGCTCAGGCTCGCCTCCATGTCAAGTCCATGACCACATTAGGCGACTTCCCATCCTTTCAACAGATTTTAATTCACACGAGACACAACCGGCGCGGTTTCCGAATGCGACACACAAAGTGAACCCGGTGAAAGATTTGCTCACTTTTCCGTGGTTGGCGTCGGCTATTATTGTAAGGGAGAGTGACATTTATCTACCCCGGGATTATCGCTAACAGGAGGATGATGACAGTTTTCTCCCCGCAGGCCCGCACAAGCCCTGGAACCGCTGGGACTGCCGTCGAAAACGCAATGACATCTCCCCGTCACGGGGGGTGCAGAGGGGAGAGAATTAATGTGAACGATTAAGGGATACAGGATAATCATTCTTATATTCAGAAATGTGTAAAAGGGACTGACGCCCCACGCCATAAAAAAATTTGAATGAATGAACTTTATTTTACGTGCACGTGGCACCGATAAAATTTGATGGCGCTTTATAGAGTAGAGAAAATTGTGACTTGCCTGCCCTGGGCGGCCATATTGAAAAGCACACTGGAGTCAGTTTTGGGGTATAAGCTTATTAAAGTGACCTTGTGCAAAGCAACTGGCTGTTTAATGCTGCCCCCCCTTTCTTTGCAGCCCCGCCCCCTCTCCACCACCAGCAGAGGAATAACCTCCATGTGCCACTGCCCGAGTATTGGTCCCTGTGGATTCCACTCCCAAGACTGGAGTACATTTTTGGGTAGAAGCCTAGTAAAGTGACCTTGGGCAAAGCAACTGGCTCTGTTTAATACTGCCCCCCCCTTTCTTTGCAGCCCCACCCCCTCTCCACCACCAGCAACGAGGAGTAACCTCCTTCATGAGCCACTGCCCGAGTATAGGTCGCCCGTGGATTCCCTTTTGGATCCGACTCCCAACACTGCACAAGGTCACTTTACTAGGCTTCTACCCAAAAACTGACTACAAAGCAACTGGCTCTGTTTAATACTGCCCCCCCCTTTCTTTGCAGCCCCACCCCCTCTCCACCACCAGCAACGAGGAGTAACCTCCTTCATGAGCCACTGCCCGAGTATAGGTCGCCCGTGGATTCCCTTTTGGATCCGACTCCCAACACTGCACAAGGTCACTTTACTAGGCTTCTACCCAAAAACTGACTACAAAGCAACTGGCTCTGTTTAATACTGCCCCCCCCTTTCTTTGCAGCCCCACCCCCTCTCCACCACCAGCAACGAGGAGTAACCTCCTTCATGAGCCACTGCCCGAGTATAGGTCGCCCGTGGATTCCCTTTTGGATCCGACTCCCAACACCGCACAAGGTCATTTTACCAGGCTTCTAGCCCAAAACTGACTCCAGTGTTGGGAGTTGGATCCAAAAGGGACTCCACAGGATCCATAGCCGGGCAGTAACACATAGAGGTTACTCCGTGTTGCTGGTGGTGGGGCTGCACAGAAAGGGGAGGGGGGCAGTATCAAACAGAGCCAGTTGTTTTTCACAAGGTCACTATACTAGGCTTCAACCCAAAAACTGACTCCAGTGCAACTGGCTCTGTTTAATAGTGCCCCCCCCCCTTTCTGTGCAGCCCCACCACCAGCAGCGAGGAGTAACCTCCTTCATGTGCCACTGCCAGAATATAGATCCCCCTGCAGATTCCCTTTGGGTCCTACAGCCAACACTGTATAGGAGGCTTCGACTTGACTGCCCAAGATTCAGCCATGCCCCTTCCTGCTCTAAGCTCCACCCCCATCATTCATAAGAGAAGCAACAGATTAAAAAGAGTTCAACATTAAGTCTCCACATCATCAACTCAAAAGTTTGATCGCCCAATCAGTGTCCTGTATTCCGAATGACTTCGAGTACAAGCGCGCGTTCACGGCAGACATACCTTGCTTTCCGCTTGCGCACTCTCCGCTCGTGCTCCGCCTCTTCGTAGTAATACTCATTGTGACTGTTGTCCCTCCGCCTGGCGGCTGCTGCTATTACGGCCCGTGACTGCCCTGTGGAGTTGTTAGTAGAATTTTCTAGAGGAAGAGGGGGAAAAAAAAAAAAGGAACATGTAACAGAGTAAAGATGATAGACACGGGACATGTAAGAAAAATTCAAAAAATTAGATTAATGCGCCCAAAAATTCTGTTTTAATTGTAGGCGGACAATGGGCGGAGTCACCCGCTGGTTTCCTTTGTGTTTTTAAGAGACTCCAGTGGTGATATTTCTATGCCAGAGTTGTTGGTTGGTCTTATCCATGTTGGAGGTTTGGACTTTGGGTTTGCTGTTGCATTCTACATTTTGTAAAATGAATGTAAAAAGTCTGAAGGGAAAATTGGGAAAGCCCGAGAAACGGCCGAAGCCGAGTGGAGACTCAACCGGAGAGCTTTCATCATGAGAGAATGAAGAAAAAAGGAGCGATACTATGCAATATATACACGGAACTTTCACCATTCTGTAGACTGTGCAGCAGCTATAGCTGCACAGAAAGGTCAGCATTCCATACAGTAAAGCAGCTATAGCTGCATGGAAAGGTCAGCATTCCATACAGTAAAGCAGCTATAGCTGTATAGAAAGGTCAGCATTCCATACAGTGCAGCAGCTATAGCTGCATAGAAAGGTCAGCATTCCATACAGTGCAGCAGCTATAGCTGCATGGAAAGGTCAGCATTCCATAGACAGTGCAGCAGCTATAGCTGCATGGAATGGTCAGGTTTCCATCGACAGTGCAGCAGCTATAGCTGCATAGAATGGTCAGCATTCCATAGACCGCGCAGCAGCTATAGCTGCATGGAAAGGTCGGCATTCCATAGACAGCACAGCAGCTATAGCGGCACAGAAAGGTCGGCATTCCATAGATAGTGCAGCAGCTATAGCTGCACAGAAAGGTCAGCATTCCATACAGTGCAGCAGCTATAGCTGCACGGAAAGGTCAGCATTCCATACAGTGCAGCAGCTATAGCTGCACGGAAAGGTCAGCATTCCATACAGTGCAGCAGCTATAGCTGCACGGAAAGGTCAGCATTCCATACAGTGCAGCAGCTATAGCTGCACGGAAAGGTCAGCATTCCATACAGTGCAGCAGCTATAGCTGCATAGAATGGTCAGCATTCCATAGACCGCGCAGCAGCTATAGCTGCACGGAAAGGTCAGCATTCCATAGATAGTGCAGCAGCTATAGCTGCATGGAAAGGTCAGCATTCCATAGACAGCGTAGCAGCTATAGCTGCATGGAAAGGTCAGCATTCCATACAGTGCAGCAGCTATAGCTGCACCGAAAGGTCAGCATTCCATAGATAGTGCAGCAGCTATAGCTGCATAGAAAGGTTGGCATTCCATACAGTAAAGCAGCTATAGCTGCATGAAAATGGCTGTCATTCCATAGACAGCGCAGCAGCTATAGCTGCATAGAAAGGTTGGCATTCCATACAGTAAAGCAGCTATAGCTGCATGGAAAGGTCAGCATTTGATAACAGACACTTCTAAAACCAGTAAAGCTGAACAAAACTGGTAATGATTTTAATTTAATGGTCCCGCCGCCCAGATTTAAATTTGACATTTCAGAAAAGCGGAGATTTCCTTTAAAAAAAAAAAGACAAAGACAAAAAACCACGACGGGGAGTCCTTCAAGGGGTTAAAAAGTTCTGAATTCATAACGGCACGCTGGCAGCCTCGGTGTTTCATTTCCAGCTCTCGCAGAAGCTCCACGAGGCCTCGGCACACAACACGCAGAGGGGAGCTTTGAAGTTTTATTTTCGACTTTCATAATTTGAAATTCAGCTCGGTGCCCTAAAGGGGGAGAAAAGGTTTCAAAGGGGGGAGGCTCCAGGGGCCCTTCATAATGGAAAGGGGGGACACCCCCCAATCCGCCCCCCACCCACCTCCTCCCGGCCACAGGGGAACTAGAACAAGACAAGATTCATGTCCGTGTATAGCGGGGCAGACAGTTATAGAGGTCACCGAAGATGGTGGGAACTATTCTCGCCATGGTGAGAGTCTAAAAA